TTTACTCATCAATATTTTTCTCATATATTTTAATATAACAATTATATTATATTGGAGTTTCATCCGTGATATGAAAAACACTAGTGGAAAACATATTTCACGACCACGGCATACCGCGAATATCGCGTTTTTCACCATGTTTTACGCCACTTCACGTAAAACGGGTGGAACTCCATTTAATATTTATTATTCACTAATACACGGACTATATAAATACATTATATTATAGTATTAATAAAAGCATTTATATGTAATAAGATAAAGGTTATCACCGTAATCACTCACCTCGGGTATGACCTCCCCGATGAGTTTAATCATGCGAGTTTCCGAATACAACTCCCGCGGCCAGCGTTGTAGTAGAGGAAGTAGTCGAGTCGGTTGGTGAATAATTACACTGAAAAAATATTGGAGGAAAAATTTGACAAAAAAACGGCGCATTCATACAAAAACTTTCTTACAGGGCAAAAAAATTATTTTTCTACTGAGACATTCATTCAATCAAATACGGAGCTCAGGGTTGTGGGTTCGATTCCCAGCAAGAGCATTTTCCGCTTTTTCCACAGTATATGATGGAAAATGATAATATTAATGATGATGCTACTAATGATAATATTTACATTCATAATCTACGCTCTTCGAAATTGTGTATGGCTTGGGAGCTCAACTGGTGACAGTCACAAAACGACAGTAATAGTATTTTATATAACGCTGATTCGAATCAATCATATCATTGGAGTTGCACTGAAAAACATATTCCACTTTGCGGAGAAAAACACCTGACCGGTCACTATCGCGTTTAAAACGGGTGAAACTCCACTAGGTTACCCCGATATTCATACCACTCCATCACTACCTTTCAATCGTTTTATCAAGTTCGTTGCGGGGCGAGCGGAGCTACATTTTACAATTTCGAGTGTGCGTGCGTACGAATCATTTCTCCACAACCAGGGAGATTTTGAACACCAGTCGGGAGAAACATGAACTCCGTATATAAAAAATTGAAATTTTCATAGAAACGAAATCCCATACCACACCATTACTACTTCGTAATTGTCTTATCGTAAATCTCAGCATCTACCAAGCCGCTCCTTTTCGCCGTATTAACATCAGTAGGCAAATACCCTACGAGGAACTGCAAGGCGTCATACGACTCGAACTCAGCAGCAATAGACTTCCAAATAGCCCTACATAAGTTCGATCCCCGGTGGAGACATCTTTATAATACTACCCGTGTTTTTCACTATCAATGAGAGACGTCAAAGTCGCCGCCCTATGGTACTCCTTATCACTAAGTAGTGGTTGCAACGCTGAGCCTGAGATCGAATAAAACAATTCGGTGATATTATGAAAACTCTGAGGAAATTCTCATTGGTTTCTGTACACTTCTACCAAATTCGTATATAAACTCCTATAATTAGTGAGAAAATTGCAAAGCTCAACTGAGGGAAACGAACATATATTCCTACTCCAACACTGGAATAAAATACCTCAGCCGAGGATCGAACCGGGGCGGAATCGGGTAATATTCCCGGGGGAATTCATTTTCAATTTTCTACATTTTTAAATCATCTTTTTTATCACAATCGAGCTTCACCCGTTTTACGCGAAGTGGTGAAAACCGCGATATTCTCAGTGATATGCAGCAGTCGTGAAATACGTTTTTTACTACTGTTTTCCATAACACTAGGGTGAAACTCCAATGATCCGAGTTAACTTTTTTATGTTTTTTATGATATCAGAATTATTTTCCCCTTCCCTTTTCCGCCAACCTCAATTCGATGCGTTGAGGAAATGCAAGATTGCAAGATTTCCCATCCTGTCAGCAATCTCCACTTACTCAACACAGTGCCCACAGCCTCAGAAGTGTCCATAGTAGCAGCAACTTGCACAGCTCTCTCGAATCTAAATACCAACTTCGCTCCGCTAATAAATCACTGCTCAATTTTACACATGAATTCGCTTAAAAAACCAACAATGGAGTTCCACCCGTCATGTGAGAAACACATTTAACACTTTTTTTCGCGGAAACATATAATTCACATGGAGTATTACATTATTTAACATTGAAAACGCGAAACTCCAATGATCTCACAAAATTTCCTCATAATGTTCATATGGTCACCAACACATGTAGTTGACCATATGCATATTTGCGAAACCAGTTACTCCAATCGAGCGGAAAAACCACAATGCGATATCAACACCAGCTTCACTGCGCCACGAAATTACAGAAATCGTATGCTCATCTTCGGAATTCCTCAGCTGAGTTTTTCGGTCACAAGTTTCCAAAAACCCACAAAATTTTTCACATTATCACCAACACACGTAGTTGACCATATGCATATTGTCGAACCGATCAAGGCCATTACTTTCTCCGAGCGATAAGCCACATCGCATGGTCCATAAGCGACCGTCTCGAAATCATAATAATCTCCATCGGCGTAGTAACGAACGCTATTGTTCGACGGGAATCGTCTTTTTGGGAAGACGAGGATGGGGAGAATCTAAGAAAAAATATGGAAAGCGCAATTTTTATCAATACCAAGTTGTGGAAAAGTTTTCATTTTTTTTGAAAATTCTATAATTTTTTAATCCTAAAAATTTTACTCCAACTAGTAAAGTAAAACTAATTTACTAACACTAAAAAATTACTCCCAAAAAACGCATTTTCCCGAAAAAAAATTTCCCATCATTCCCCATAAAATGACTCACGCTAAACCTGTTTCCGACGGTAAAACCCATCGAGAGCATTCATCTAGCGAGCTCGTTGGCACCTACAACGCAGCAGTGGGACAGTGTTGGAAAACGAATATATGTTCACTTTCCTCAACCGAGCTCAATCATTCGGGTAGAAGTGTAGAAAACCAATAAGAAATTCCTCAAAAATTTTCACATATCGTCACCAATACATGTAGTTGACCATGTGCATATTTTCCAAAATTTGCGAAAAAAAATCCTATAAATTTTCAGTAAATCGACAACCCCACTCACTCGGTCCGAAAACGCAGCCTCGCCCTTCAAGTTAACCACGTGATGCACCATAGAGGCTGACGGATCTGATTATAAAAATAGTAGCTTCGCTCCGCCTTTTTTGTGTGAGTCACGCTTGAACCTAAGATACTACCTCCGCCTTGGTCGCTGTTCAATTTGATACCCTCCGCTGGACAGGTGAGAATTGAAAGTTGCGTAGTAGCGAGAAAATCATCAGAGTCGCTGGGGATGCCTACAGACCTAATCCGTATCTTT